TCAATGTTGCCTCGGCTGGCGTGGGCCCACTGTATACCTATACAGGTCGCACCTTCAGCAGAAGCCAAATAGCATCAGCTTTAGAAGATGTATTTCCAGAGCGGCCCATTTACTTAGCGAACAGTCTAATCAGCGATTACCACTGCGCTAGTCAGTCGCCAGTGACAGGTCGCAGGTCTTCTGAAGTCCACAGCCGATAGGTTGATATTTCAACCACTCAATATACAGGAGATTACTCGCAAATACTTCAAGGACGCTTGAGGATCGCTTTCAAGCGTGGTTGGTTGGCGACACCATGATCGGGCCTCGGTGCCGTCGCCTTCTCAATCGCTAGGCTATAGCCTCGCTTCTCGGTGGACAGCTGAATCGCACCGCAAGGAAAGGAACGCCCGTGCACTCATAAATTGGCCCTTTCAAGCTACCCCAGACAGAATGCCCATACTGCAAGTAAAGTTGCGAAGTGAACGACGTAATTGTTTCTTTTGCGAAGTGGCGAAATACCCGCCACGCGTTTGTAAGGCACACGTTGTTGACGCTGTTGTTGATAATGATAACTGATTATGCCCGTGTGCTTTGTGGTTGGTCGCCTTTAAACCAACCACTCGTTCAGCGCAATTCACAAGACTTGACGCCAAGTATGATTCTATATACGTTTCTGCCTCGCAATATTACATTTGTTAACGTCCCTCCTGACACTCCATAACATTCAACAATCATCCCTACTGAAACGTTCCGTATGCGATGTCCAATAATTCCGTATGTTTCCGTAAGAATCTTACGGAACTATATGGAAAATATACAGGAAACATATGTATTCTTTATGGAAACATGTGGAATTATTGGACTCGCCATACGGAACGTTTCAGTAGGGATAAGGCTTTTTTTTTTTTTTCGGTGCCATTTCAAGCACGGACATGGCTCTGGAGTAGAACACCTACTTTCCACGCAGAAGTCCTGGGTTCGGCTTTCACTCGAACGGAGGATTTTTTATTTTATTATTTCTTTATTTGCATCAATCTCGAATTTTCGCTCTCGGACAAAGTCGATTTTTTTCCCCCACGACCAACGACGCCGACAACGGAATTTCTGCGAAACGAGCTTTTCTACGCGACCGCCTGAAAAATTCTCTTTCGTAACGCTGTTTCCCCATTGGTGGGGTCCTCCCCGTTTCGCTAATAGTAATGTCCAAGTCGTCATTGCCTGAAATATTTTTTTATACAAAAATTGTTAAACGTTTTCGTCATTATTCCACTATTTAACGAACGATTTTGCGAAGCGCAGTTGTTAACGCTAACATTTATATACCTACTGGAGATGTGGTGCACTTTGATAAGACACATCTCTAGGCCTTATTTCGAAGTTGACTGGGTGCGAATGTAAAAATCCTAACCGACTTTGTGAAGGCCTTGACACATGTCAAGTACCTATAGATCACGCCGAGTATGCATTGTCTGATGCAGCGATATGATACGAAATGTTTCACATTTAAAACCGTTCGATGCTGTACGTATCCCTTTCGTTTGGTCAATGTAGAGCGTTTTAAATACATGGTGTAACTATCAGTTAAAGCGCACGAAAAACAGACAGGAAGAGAGGACAAGCGCTTGTCCTCTCTTCCTGTATGTTTTTCGTGCGCTTTAACTGATAGTTATACCATGCATATCCAACTAGCCCAACTTTCGATTCTGTTTTAAATACACTTTTGAATCTAGCAAAATGCCTTTCTCATAGCCTACGCTCTCCCACCTCCTAAAAGTTGGCTGTCTATGACAATCCACCAGACAAACTTCTTGCGAAGTACCATTGAGCACCTCGGTTACTTTCTTTGAATACGCCGTCGATGCATATCACATACGTACGTAGTTCCCCGACACGCCACCACGGCGTTCTTTAGCAACCACGCTGAGCACTTTCACGAATGAACGGCGCTAGCGGCAGGACGCCCAGGCTGTGAGGTAACGCTTTTACGCAAGCGAAGTTACACGGAGACGTAATAGAGTCGATCCTTTCTAAAAGGTACACAGCGGAAGCACGCAATACCCCGCGGATAAACCATTACCCACGCTTCCAACAATAGCCACCAATCAATAATTTTCACCATTACACGCCGAACAATAATGCCACAAGCTGCCGCGCGAAACCGCCGTAGATCTACCATACAGGACGGTTCGATCAGGGAGTTTATTTCAGGATGTAATCGCAAACGTCATGACACTTACATGTTCTTCTAGAACTTGTGAAAAGCCTGCTTGGCATACAGACTCCCGCAATCATGTTTAGATGTATATTCTTCCTCGTATAATTAATCAGTGTACATTTGTTTTCTACGCCTAGGCTTCCTATCTCATTTTTGTCATCTGTAAAAGACGTGAACATGCCGTTATGAGCGTTGGATGACCACAACAGAGTACGGTACAGCAGGCACGCGCTAAATCCTGGATCACCGTCAAATTAAAATACAACTAGCACAAAAAAAAAATCCCAACAGTATGCTCGATACACGGCTGATAGTTCTAACCACTTTGAAGCGACGTCAGGAGTCACTAGACACGCCCACTTTTAGGCGCTGCCCGAGCTTTTAAGGGCAAGTGGCTTTCCAACCTCTAAATCTGAAGTTTATTACTTTGTTTTGATTTTGAAGCCACTATACGGACGTTAATGAGGTACGAATATCAATTAAAACAGCGGACGCGAATGCAACATTTTGTATGCACTAGACATTTGAGGAACACTCCAGCCGATAAATCTAAGCGTTCACTGATAAGTGGAGGAGGTTCTGGTATCATTTCTTGTTAGACACTTATTTCACCACAAAGTGCGCGGACGAGCCACGTGTATTACATTTGTTTCTTGTAGTTTTAATAACAATAATAATTGTTGTAGTTTTACATCCCTAAACGACGATATGATTCTAACAGACGCCATAGTGAAGGGCTCCAGAAATTCGGCCCACCCGGGGCTCTTTAACGCGCGCCTGAATTCAAGCACACGGGCTTCTAGTATTTTTCGTCTATCTAAATGCGGCCGGGATTCGATCCCGCGACCTTCGTATCAGCAGTCAAGCACCGTATACAACTCCATGACCACGAAGACGCTTTTTTTTTCCTTTCGATAATTTCTAAATGCGCTCTTAAACGTCACCCCAAACCGTGCCCACGTATTTCTATTTAATTAAAGTACTCGATTTTTATGCTGCCAGTGATTTCACGGCCAGTTGGACAAGCGACATATACAACCACGCGTACCGCACCAATTAGACGTCGCTTTTACGATCCATAGTCAAAAGCGTAACTGCAATCAAAGCGTCTAGGCGTGTAACAACACTCTCCGGGGAGATGTAGATTGCTTGAGATATAAAGTGCTCGGAGAGTCGGCAACTTTTGCGGAAGACGCAGGCAACGCAGCAGGCCGTCAATGAGTTCGTCTCAAGCACAACTCCTCCCCCCTTCTCTCTCTCTCGCCATCCCACCATTCTTTCTCTACGATCCTACAAGCGAGCAACTTCCGCCTCTTTATTTATTCATCGCAGAGAGACGGGTTCTCTCTTACTTTCTCAGCGCGTGCCGAAATAAAAGCCCGCGTGAATAAAGCATTTCCCTTCCGTGGTGGCCACGAGGCATGACAAAAAGAGAAAAAAAAAAGTGACAATTTTAACGAGCGTCGGTAAGATGTCATTACGGTAATAAAACTGTCCACCCAGGTCCGCAGCGGTGGTGTAGCGTTTCCAAGGCTCGGCTGCTGACCACAAGGCCGCGGGTTCGACACTATAGATGCGGAATGTCAGTATACTACGCGATGTACTTTGGTAAAGAACAACAGATGGCCAAATTTTCCGGAGGCCTTCACTGTGACGTCTTCGCGGCAATACCGTGGTTTCGGCACGTAACACAACAAATCTTATTGTTATAATATAGTTAAGAACTATCAAACTAGGATTAAAATCGGACACACAGCGACGTTGTCTCGAGAAAAACTGAACATGAAGGTCGGCCTGTTAAAGGGGGAACGAGCAACATATCGGTTACTATCAAAACCGTATTAACAAAGCGAAACCTAAACACTTGACGAGAAACCGAAGTAAGATACACCACGGTGAGTGTCGCAAGCGCGCTTCAAGGCAGCGGGAAACGCAGAAACTGTAGAAATTTACTTCGAAGAGACCTCATGAAAGCCCCAAACACGACCGCGCGATGGGGATGGGCGGGGCGCTGGGCTCACTCACAAGAGGCGTCTCGCCTAGTGAGGATGTTGAGAAGATTCAGTACGAATTGGCCGAAAGGTGGGTGTGGCCAACAGGGGACGTCAGAATAGCGCAACAAAGTACGATTTCATTATTGTCCCACAATTCGATGGGAACTCGTTGAAGCTAGAGTAACGGATCATCAACGCCCGTACGCATTCCGATCCGATAACAGCGGATTCCAGCATCAACGAAACTGCTCCTGGTTTTCTCTCATCCATTCGCGCGCTAGAGCGAGTAGGCTATGGCTCTTGTATGTGAGCGTACTTTCGGTCTTGGTGTGAAACTGAAATAAAATAATCTGCTGGTACGGTTGACGCGCAGGACGCTAAAAACAATCGAAAGCTAAGTACGCTTCAATAGCGTCGGTGCAGCGTGCGACGCTTGAACGAGCGCTTCCGGGCGCGCAGTGGACGGCCGGATGCAGAAACAAACGAGACATCGCGCCCGCCGGCTCCCTCCAAGGCTCTTGTTTCTGGTTGTGGGCAGCCGACGAGGGGCAAGGGAGCCAAGGCGCACTCGGGACACGACCAGATGAGGCCCTCGCCCCCTCGGAGGTCTCCTCCCCAACGACGGGGCCACTTCTAGACAACCGACGCCCGCACGAATCTGTCAGAAGTGCCGCGAATGCGCTGCCAGCGTCAGACACAACATTGGCACTTGCATGCGCCGCTCATTCGCCCGTCTGCGAGCGATCTAGATGACGAAGACGCTTTTGACAAGCCGGCCCGCAGATGCGCGGAGAAGCTGTTAGGCTTACCTCGAAGCGAACTCAAGGGGGGCTTGCTCCTGAGGGTTGGTGTCGGACGCAGCAGCGCACGCACGATACACTCGGGAAAATGCCCTGCGACGTGTAAATCCAAGAGGCACGGCGTTCACGCACCCGATCCTCGCGGGGACACACACAGCACGATCTTGTCGCGTCCTTTGGAGAAGAAGCTGATAAGCCTCAAAACAAATCTGTTTATCCAAAAGTCAACGCCATCGCCACAGCGTCGTCGTTGCTCGCTGCCTGCGGCACAACGCACGTATACAACGGCCACAGCGCCGTTCGCCACGGCCGCCGCCAGCTACCTCTGCAATCCCCCTCCTCTGCTCGCTTACTGCATCACCATTGGTTCAGACGAGGGTCACGTGGCTAGCGTCGTGCGCAGGCGCGCTGCACGCCGGCGCGAGAAGCGAGAGAAGAGAGACGCGCGCGAGAGGGCGCAAGGGTGAGCAGACGACAAAAAATGGCGACCTCCTGACTGAAGAAGAAAAGGAGACTGCTCTTATTTTCGGCCCCAGTCGGACTCCCCCAACTTCAGCAGCACCCCCCACTTGGAGCGGCGCAATAATTAGCGAAGACGCTCGTGTCAGAAGGCTTAATTGCTTTTGTCGTTCGGCTGTGCTCGCGTTGCGGCCGCTTCGATCGTCTTTTGACGAAATGTCCGGCGTGGGACGTAGCCTGCGCGGGTGCTTCGCTGCTTGCTGCTCCTGTGGCTGGGCAGCTGCCCGGGTCACTGGGCGCTCTCGCTGCGTTCTTGTCGGGTCTATCGATTGGGCGACCGGATTAGTTGGGAGAGGAGACTTGGACCCGCGAACAACTGAGCATCGCAGCCGTTGGCGCGACCGAGAGCGATCTGCTCGGCCCGCACACACTGTTCAGCCAAAGCTGCGCCCCTGCTGGCGCTTGCGGAAAAAAGTCGCGCGGAGAGAACTTGAGCGAGGTGGCGGAATCTTTGATGACGACGTCGAAAAGAGGGGAGAGGGAGAGGTGCTACTCGACCGGGGGAACTGTAGGAGGTGCCCTAATCGATTTCCAATTGTCTTCCCTCGCACTTGCACAAGAGGGAAGAAACTAGGTGATGTACGCGCTGCTTGATATCGTGGAGAAGCTACTCATGACTGAGATAGCGCCTTGTTCTCACACCCATGGTGCGAAGAGACGAACTGTACACTGAATGCAAAGACGTGGTGCATACAACTAAGACGTCTGAAGCGTTGCCTCCGAGGCGTAGATATGAATGAAGTATATTGCGGTAGACCAGTCCCCCTAAGTGCGTCATGATCGATGTTTGGAAGCACGCGTATTGAATTGTACCCGTTGTTCCGGCTCAGTTGCTGTGTCCCGACGAAGACGGAACAGGACGCCTTGAGTGTGACATAAAGTGATGCACCACTGTACTCACGAAGCATTCTGCCACGGCGAAAGGCCATGTCGGGATTGAAAAGCAAAAATCGGTATTTCGTGAAGTTAGTTTCTTACAGCACAATGCTGTATTGCCAAGAAGCTCACTTTCAATGTTAAGTTATCGCTTTCCATTAATTCGCGAGTGACAACATGATTCCTGTGTTATACTCATTCTAGATAAGCATTTCAAAGCATGTCGCGCTCTGGAAAGATTTCTGGAGGCTGTTTAAACAGCTTAGAGGTTGGCTGATTTCGGGCTCCTGTTCATTCACACGACGAAAAAATTGTGGCTAGTTGCACGAACGTAATTTTCATGTAGCTCATGTTTGACTAGAAGGTTGTTAGGTTAATCTAACGAGAGAATGTGTGAACAGAAGTTTTCATGGGCAGTAAATAATTAACAGTACAATGCTAACGCCTGCAAGTGGACTTCACAACAAAATTGTCTGACGGCGAAAACCGCTTTTCGAAGACTCGCTCTATAAACGTGTCTCGCGGTGTCGCTCGGCTGCTGCGAATACGGGTCAATGCAAGCGTGATGAGAATTCAGCGATGATTTGGATGATGAAAGCCACATTACAGATTTGCGCCACTATTAGCTATTTTTGCATATATGACAAAGAAATTAGAAGTGGCTGTTTATTTTTCTTAGTCAAGTATTCGCTGTTTGATACAATCAACTTTCACCTGTAATAGCCTCGTGTTCACAAAAATGTTCACAGCGAAGCTGTTAAAGTCTAGGTTTGCTATGTGACGTAGACTGATAATTGTCAACATCATGAACTGGCACGTGCTTCCTTGCTCCTCTGAAAACTCCTGCTTCACTCCCAAAACACAGGCGCCGATTTTCCCGGCGAGGAATGCGGGAAGAGTGATGGACGAGTCTGTTACGTGACTAAAATCTCGGCAAATCGCGTAACAACCAGTCACATGACCGAAACCACGGAAAATCGCCTAATAAATAGGTAAGTGCCTAGGATCATGCGACATAACGTAAGGGCTTGCGCGACTTAAAATCACGTAACATAGAATCAAAGGACTAAAATAACGCAACGTAGCGTAATGGCTAGTCGCGTGACACGTTCCCGCCAAAAACGCGTAACAATCAGTTAGGTGACATGTCTAGCCAAGTCTAGCCACACTTAATACTCCTAGAGAAATTTTAACATCTCTAGCGAAAGCTGGCATTACTAGCAAAACTTGGCTAGGTCGAGCACTAGCGCCGCTGGTAGTTCCAGTGTTGCGCCTCTGGTGCAAGCTAGGCACTTATTTCTTTAAAAGAATATTTCAGCCAATCGCAATGCGGGGCTTACGATTAGCGTAACTGGCTGACCAACGGGAAAACACGCGGAAGAGAAGCTTTGTGTTTTCAGCTCGTGGTCATCGCGTCGAATAACGAAGAGAGAAACCGGAAAGGCAATTAAAATAGTCAGCCGGAAAGAAAACTTGGCCGTGCATGACGATAGTTATAGCGCGAGAACAAAACGACGACACAGAAACAAGAAGGACACGAGCCGTGCAACCATGGGATTCCATACTGTCGCTGGATAGCGCTGTATACGATGGAAAGCGAAAGTTACGCTCTTCCACAGTGAGCCCATCAATGCGCCTATTGTATATCATTTTTTTTTCTTATTCAGTCCGTCGCAGTAGCAGGGTCTTTCATCTCTCGTCGTCTCTTTGCGCGCGTGTACTTTTGGGTTGGCTGTTCTGGACGCTCGCACTTCCATCGAAGCTCACGAAATTGAATGATGTCCTTGTCAATACATGCCGGTTTGAGTGGCACCTCGCAAAAACAAAAAACAAAAAAAAAACAAGTTTGCAGGTGAACGGCGGCTGCTCGGTATAGACGGCGCTATAAGAAGAGACAGGCTAGAGCTACTGTATATGCTCCTCCAATGCTAACTACGGTCGCATATGTATACAGGGACAATGAGGCCGACTCTTCCATGAAAAGTAGACGAATTCAACCCCTTTCGCGTCTCTTGACGTGGCACTTCACGACCTTTCGACAGCAGTACGTTTTGTGAGGGAATCGCCCCGGAAGCAGTCTCGCCGAAGCCGAATGACTGATAGGGTGAGCAATTAGTATAGCGGTCGCGACGTGTCTCCCGGTTGAATGGGCGGCTACGGCCTTTCACGGTAATTGTTGACAGTCGGCTCGCCGTTTCATCTGAGCCAAGACTCGAGGCATACAGACGGAGCTGAGTGTAGTGGTCATCTGTCACCGCTGCGGCACCTTTCGGCTATTGTTACCTTGACAGGCTGACTGGACGCACGTTAGCCTATGTCCTGCATAGTGAAGGAAGCGAAGTCTCGGAACTTGCGAGCGGAACTTTGTGGCCTCTGAGAGAGGACACAGTACTTTATTGGTTATAAGTAGCGAAGATATGATATTTTCAGAAGTTGATCTGAGGAGAGAAGACGGGTGTTTAAGAAGAAAAAAATATTCGGGGAGCCTTGCCTTATCGGGAAAAAAGCTCCTTCGGTGGCCCCTCCTCCTCCTACTTTTCCCAGGGAGGGGGAAGAAATTTCTTTCTTTCTTTCTTTCTTTCTTTCTTTCTTTCTTTCTTTCTTTCTTTCTTTCTTTCTTTCTTTCTTTCTTTCTTTCTTTCTTTCTTTCTTTCTTTCTTTCTTTCTTTCTTACTTTTTCTTTCTTTCTTTCTTTCTTTCTTTCTTTCTTTCTTTCTTTACTTTCTTTCTTTCTTTCTTTCATATTTACTTTCTTTCTTTCTTTATTTCTTTACATGGCATTGCGCAATGCTCTCCCCCAAGTGTTTCCTTATAGCATGCCGGGAATGGGGCCTTCATCTCCGTGCTTACCAGCGCAACAATTTCCACAAGGTGTGGAAGATTTTTTCGTTTTTTTTTCTTTCTACAAATCACATCTTACTTCCGGTCTAAGCAACTCCACTGTTAAATACGAATTCGTGACAACAAGAAAAAATCGTGCGTACGATACACATACCGTGATGCCTGGTGCAGATGTTATAGCAGAGAAAGGCGATGTCTTGATTGCCAACTGGCAAGTTTTAACGCCACAGAGGTGACAGATAAGCTATGGAAGGACTCACTCGCTGGATTCCATGCCGACCGGTTGTGCCCTCGCGATCTCCGACGACAGTGCAGCTCTGGCCAAGGAGGATCTGGCCGACTGGGTTGGTCCTACGCCACTTCCTGACGACGGTCCCTGACGACGACGACAGCGTAACTCTGGCCGACTGGCTTAGCCCTACGCCATCTCCTGTCACCGACAAGAGCTCTCGCCAGTGGTGCCCCGTCCTCGGACTCCTGCAGCCGTGTTCATCTATCCTGTCTTCTCCTTACTTCCGGCGTTCGTTGTCCCTGCGCCTTGCTCTCTCCTTCCTCTCTCTCTATCTCTCTACATTTTAATCCTATCCTTTTAATTCCTTCTCTACCCTCATCCCTCGTGACCTACTGTTGAGGTGTCCTCCGCCTGAAAGACAGTTACGGGGCTCGCTTTTCTCTTCTTTTCACTTAAAATCACTCCCCCCCGCCCAAAATTTGGAAATCGCTATATACCAAGGACGGTTTTAAAACCGACCTTGAAAAACTTGAATGTTCACCCGTGTCACTATCAGCGGCTACTGAACATTCCACCTTCATCCCCGAAAACAGAACCCAATAGCCACGGGTTTGACGCAATGGATCGAGCCCATACACATAATGAAATTAACGAACAAATATGTTTCGTCCTTACCCTTGAATTCCAATGAGGCAAATGCTTACTTATCATCGTGAGGGAAGTACGAAATGAACGGATAGAATGAATGATCCGGCGCTTGCTGCAGCAGCGGTGTCTGTGGATGCTCTTCATTCATGCTTCGCCTCGTGCGGGCTATGGGGCGATTCTGTGCA